ACCCAAATCTGGCACATACCCAGCCTGTGTAGAGACTTGTAGAGGGCGGCACCAGGATGCCACAGAGGAAGCAACTGAAATCCTGTGCATGAGAGTCTGAAACTCTACAGCGCAGGGAGGTTTTTGTGCTGGTCTGTATCACTGTGTGAGAGGGGAGCTGTTATACTTCTGACAGTAATACTCTCCAGCATCATCTGCTTCAACCCTGCTGATGGTGAATGTGAAGTCAGTGCCAGACCCACTGCCACTGAACCGGTCTGGGACCCCAGAGGGACGGGTGGAGGCGCTGTGGATGAGGAGTTTAGGAGCTTGTCCTGATTTCTGTTGGTACCAGGCCATGTAGCTGCCAACACTGGAACTGGCTTTGCAGCGGATAGTGACTGTGTCTCCAGGAGACACTGCCAGGGATTCTGGAGTTTGAGTCACGATCTGCCCACTGGAGTCTGGATGGGAGAAAACATTTAAAAGAAAAAGAAATATCCAGTGTAATTCATTACAAACCTGCACGCTGTATCCCTGCTTCACTGACATGATAAATGCCACTGGGAAAGATCGCTTGAACAGTAAAATCTGAGCATCTGCAACCTGGTATTATTTATGCTAATTTCCCCACTTATTTCTTTTACCATGAATGCAGAGCACAAGGAGCCAGAGAAACTGAGTCTGGGAGATCATGTTGGCAGATGTGAAGCTCAGAAGCATAAACGGTTAAAGTGACATGTTTATATCTGCTTTCAAGAGCAGGGGACTGTCACTAGGGTGGAAATATGCAAAGCAGCATCTCTGTGTAAATGTCCCTTCCCTCTGCAGACCCAGGGTCACATTGAATAGACTTCACACCCATGAGACCCATCCTGTGAGAGGAGCATAAAGAAAAGGATAAAAGCTGGGTGTGGAAAAGAAACAAAAACAGCACCCTACGCTGCCCATTTTGGGTTCCTCTGGATCAGGCAACTTTTCATTCCAGTGAAAGCTGCTTAGCCTGGTCTTGCCAGATTTTCAACTGTCTTTTTAACCCAAATTAAACTCCTGCACAAGGCATCATTGAACACAGACTCAGAATGTGAGAATAGGGAGGTTCTCCATGGGGGTGCTCTTGCAGACATCCTGTGCTGGGTGTTCTCTCGATCAAGAGTATCAGGCCCTCCTTAGTGTTCCAGGTCACAGTGCAACTGTTTACAAGGAGACAAATGGAAAGCCCTGAGGAGTCTACCCCTCCGTCCTCTCTCTCTGCTGGTTTCCCTAGCACCCCTGGGCTATGCTTTGGCTCCAGAATGGTTACTCGCTGTGCAGTAGCAGAGTCTAGCCCTGTGCGTATCAGTCTAGACACAGAGGAGTGAGCTAGACTGCAGCAGCCACATTGGCCCTGGGCTTCTCTGCAGGCAGCAGCTGTTCCTGTGGAATGACAAGAATTGAAGAGACCCAGAAGGTTTTGGGACGGAGCTCTATTACTGTGTGAGGGAAGCTGTCACCTTCTTGGTGATGCTTTCCATCGTTTGCTTCAACCACACTGACAGTGCGAGTGTAAATCAGTGTGACTGTTCCCAGAGGGATTGGCCCTGAATCAGGCTGAGGCCCCAGAGGGCAGGGTAGAGCCAGAATTAGAATGGGGGTTGTGCTGATTTGTGCTGGCACCAAACAGTAGAGCAACTGCTGCTCCGGCACAAGAGAACAGACGCAGTGGCGCTCAGCACTGTTGACTGTCAGCTTCTCTGTCGTCTTTTGTGCTTTTGTGAGCCACAGGGAGACATTTAATTACTTCAGTGGGAGGCTGCCTCTAAGAGAGCACCTGGCCGGAGAGGGCTGTAATGTCTCCTGTGCTCGGAAAAGGCAGCCCTGGTTTTCTGGGAAATTTGTTGGTCTATTTGGGGTAGGATGCCTGCAGCAGTGTTGAGTAGGTCCCAGTGCAATGACAGGGAGGGGTTGATGCTGGGTTAGGATGGAACTCTCTGCTTTGAAGCAGACAGCCCTCGCTGAGTGATCCAAGGAACAGCTGTGCACACGAATACCTACAGATCAGCAATGGAGGGAACGGAAATATTTCTGTTTGCATCATTGCATGGTGGATTCTGAATATAAATCACAGGTTTACATTCCAGTAGTGAGTGGGGCGTGGGAGTGCATACAGAGGCTGAGTTCATAGTGCATTCAGCAGCTCCTGGGGCTCTGCTTTGGCTGCAGAAAGCAAATGCCATTAAGAGCTGGTCTTGTGAACAGTAAGCTCTCTGTGAGGCCAGGCTATCTCCTAACTGCTACTTAAGGTTTTCTTGTATCTTCCACCTAAGCAGCAGGGCTGGCCATTGCCTTTAAACTGGATTTAGCTAAAAGGTACATTAAAATTTTTCTCTTGTCCTGATCAGGGTACTCAGAATACCCCATTCATCGAACCACAGCTGATGGATAGCTTATTTACCTTAGAGGAAAGAAAAGAGTTGGCACCTGTGCAGATTGTATTACATTTTCATTTGGAATTAGTGATTACAAAAACATCTAACACTTTGCCAAAACCTATGTTAGTTTACCAAACTTTATTTTAATTGAATTAAAATATTAATTTATGTCCAACTCACAAAAGTTTTCTATGTTTTCTTTATTTATGGCCGAGGTGGGGAACCTTTTTTGGGTTGGGGGCCATTGACTCACAGAATAATCAGTTGGGGACCACATAAGTGAGAAGCAAAAAAATCCTCCAAAAGCCCCCAACCCTCACTTATGAGGTCCCCAACTGAAATAGCTCACTCCTCTAGTGCTCCAGCCCCAGAGAGGGAGAGGAAGAGAAAGGGAGGACTGAGGTTCAAGACTTCCCATAGGCCAGATTTACTCTTCTGGCATTCCAGGCTGCAGCTCCCCTAGTCTCTGGGGTGGGGACAAAATGAGGGGTTTAGTGTGTGGGACAGGGCTGCCAATAAATGGGATAAGGATAGGAGTGCTGGATCTGGGCGGGAGATGGGGAACAGAGGGGGTGAGGGTGCGTGCTCTTCATGGGAGTTGGGGTGCAGAAGGGGATGAGATTGCGAGGTCTGAGCAGCAGATAGAGGGCAAATTCTTGCAAGGGAAGGTGCAGTGGTGGCCAGGGGGAAGGGTGCAGGAGCAATGGAGGGTGCACAAGCAGGTTAGAGGCACAGGGTGTTGGCAGCAGGGTGTGTGAGAGGAGTGGGGTACAGATTCTGGACATGAGGGGAAGGTGGGGACTTGCTTTCATGTGCTGTGCTGCTCCCAGACACCGTGTCTCAGGCACATCCTCCCGGCCAATGGGAGCAGCAGGGAAATCCCCCAGGCCGTGCGTCTGTGGGCTGCTGTTCCCACAACTCCAGAAAGGAGATGGGGAGCAGCAGTGTGCTGAGCCATCTCCGGCTCTGCTGCTTCCCCGCAAGCCAGATCTGGTGGGAAGGCTCATGGTTTCTCTCCCTCTCCCCGAGTGACAATCTGGTGCTGGTGCTCCAACCTCACGAGAGAGGACAGGGCACAAAGCTGGAGTGCCAGCGCATGCTCCCTGCTGTGGGGGGAAAAAGGGAGGCTGAGCTTGGGTCATAGACCACTTGGAAGGCAGCTGTGGGCCGTAGATGGACCAGAGCTCAGGTGTACTTAATGCTGTGCTCATGCCCCTCTTGTTCTAGCACCCACCACCCCACCCACCACCCCAGTGACTGTACCTGTGATGGGGAAAATGGGACTTGGAGTTTACCCTGGGGGCAGCTCCAGCAATGGCAAATGGCTCAGGTGTTTTTACCACTGTGACCGGTAATCCTGGAGTTTGGGTGGGGATAGGTGCGGAGCTCTGGGTCCCATTTTTTCCACAGTAGACGGTATCACAGAATCTCACCTGCTGAGGGGATTTTTCTGCGAAAGGGGAGCTGTGTTTTGTGATTGTGTTTTATTAGATAAGAAGCTGAACCGTCCAACACTTTTGTGTGACTTGTTTGGAGGAGGCCAGTGATTTTCAAACTGGAATGCATGGACACCTGCAGGTCTGCAAGGATACTGCAGGAGATGTATGGGCCCCACTAATTAAATCGTTCCTCTTCTTCTGGAGGCCTCCTGCATGCCAGTTTTCTTCCACATATTGATGTGAGGAAGTGGGTCTGGCCCACAAAAGCTCATCACCTAATAAACCATCTTGTTAGTCTTTAAAGTGCTGCATAGTCCTGTCTTTTGTTTCAGCTGCACCAGACTCACACGGCTGCATCTCCATCACTATTCTGCATACAAAGGCACAGCTGTTCAGTGGCATGTGGCAGGTGTTGGGATGAAAGGGAAAACTGGGGATGGGAATGTTTGGGGAAGTAGAGCAGGATAGATGGAGAGGGCTGGAGCAGGGAGTGGAAGAGGTGGGGTGGGGATGGAGCAGGGCAGGGGGGGGTCGGGTGGGGTGGGGCCATGGAGGGAGGAAGTGCGGCAGGGGTGGGGCCTGGTGCTGAGAGGGGGACTTGGGGACCCAGTTAAAATGATATATCAAAATAGGAGTCTCCAGTTGCTAATATTTGAACACATGGGTTAGACTGCTGCGGTGTCCCTCAGGATGTTTTATAAAGCTGGGGTACAGATCTGTCTCTGTCTTCTCTGTTAGTGGTAGGGGAGCAATGGCAGTTGAGAGAAAAGAGCTGAAGCACATGGTGGGAGGGAGCATTTGAAAGGACCAGGTTCTGGAGTGAAGAGGGAACGTCCCCAAATCAGGTAATATTTGAACACATGGGTTAGACTGCTGCGGTGTCCCTCAGGATGTTTTATAAAGCTGGGGTACAGATCTGTCTCTGTCTTCTCTGTTAGTGGTAGGGGAGCAATGGCAGTTGAGAGAAAAGAGCTGAAGCACATGGTGGGAGGGAGCATTTGAAAGGACCAGGTTCTGGAGTGAAGAGGGAACGTCCCCAAATCAGGCGCAAACCCAACCTTTGCGGAGACTTGCAGAGGCGGCACCAGGATGCTACAGAGGAAGCAGCTGAAATACTGTGTGTGAGAGACTGAAACTCTACAGAGTAGGGAGGTTTTTGTGCTGGTCTGTATCACTGTGTGCAAGGGGAGTTGTTATGATTCTGACAGTAATAATCTCCAGCATCATCTGCTTCAACCCTGCGGATGGTGAATGTGAAGTCGGTGCCAGACCCACTACCGCTGAACCGGTCTGGAACCCCAGAGAGACGGGTGGAGGCGGTGTGGATGAGGAGTTTAGGCACTTGACCTAATTTCTGTTGGCACCAGGACATCCATCTGCCAACACTGGAACTGGCTTTGCAGCGGATAGTGACTGTGTCTCCAGGAAACACTGCCAGGGATTCTGGAGTCTGAGTCAGCACCATCTGCCCACTGGAGTCTGGATGAGAGAAACCATTAAAAGAAAAGAAATATTCAGTGACTCAAATCTCATAAGTTTTAACTCATTACAAACCTGGACCTTGTATCCTTCCTTCACTGGCACCATGAACGCCACTGGGAAGGATCGCTTGAATTGGAAAATCTGAGCGTCTGCAGCCTGGTATTATTTCAGCCAATTTCCCATGTTATTTATCTTACCCTGAATGCAGAGCACAAGGAGCCAGAGAAACTGAGTCTGGGAGATCATCTTGGCAGCTGTGGAGCTCAGAAGCACAAACGGTTAAAGTGACATGTTTATATCTGCTCTTAACTACAGGGGACTGTCACTGGGATGGAAATATGCAAAGCAGCAGCTCTGTGTAAATGTCCCTTCCCTCTGCAGACCCAGGGTCACATTAAATAGACTGAACACTCATGAGACCCATCCTATGAGTGGACCAGAAAGAAAAGAATAAAAGCTGGTGGAGGGGATGAAACAAAAACCGAGCCCTACAGGGCCCATTTTGAGTTCCTCTGGATCAGGCAACTTTTTGTTCCAGGGAAAGCTCCCTAGCCTGGGCTTGCCAGATTTTTAATTGCCTTTTTAACACAAATTAAACTGTGTAGCAAGGCAACATTGAACACAGGCTCCAAGTGTGAGCATGTGCAGTTTGTCCAAGGGGGTGCTCCTGCAGACATCCTGTGCTTGGTGTTCTGTCGATCAAGAGTGTCAGGGTCTCCTTAGTGTTCCAGGTCACAGCGCAAGAGTTTACAAGGCCTCAGCAGAGACAAATGTCAAACCCCGAGGACTTTTTCCCCTCCATCCTCTCGCTGCTGGGTTCCCTAGCACCAGTGGGCTATGCTTTTGCTTGCAGCCACATGTTCTATTCCTAGCAGCCCCCAAAAGGGTCATTTTCTGTGGGGTAGCAGAGTCTAGCCCTGCGCGTATCAGTCTAGAGACACCAGTGAGCTGGATTGCAACAGCCACATTGGCCCCGTGCTTCTCTGCAGGGAGCAGCTGTTCCTCTGGAATCACAGGAGCTGAAGGGACCCAGGAGGTTTTGACATGGGTCTGTATCAGTGTGAGGGGAGCTGACACCATATTGGTGATGCTGTCCATCGTCTGCTTCAACCTCAATGAGAGTGAGCGTGTTAATCATTGTGACCATTCCCAGAGTGATTGGCCCTGAAAAAGGCTGAGACCCCAGCAGCAGGGTAGAACCAGAATAATAAGAATGGAGGTTGTGCTGATTTGCGCTGGCACCACCGAGTATAGTATCTGCTCCTCGGGTACAAGTGAATAGAAGCAGTGGAGCAGTGGTTCTCTGTATTTTTTTGTGTTTTTGTTTTCTGTGTTCTCTGTTTTTGTGTCCCTGAACCAGGCTGAGATCCAGGTAGAACAGTTATAATAAGCACCTGGCCAGAGAGGGCTGTAATGTCTCCTGTGCTGGAAAAAGGCAGCCCTGGTTTTCTGGGAAACTTGTTGGCCCATTTGGGGTGGGATGCCTTCAGCAGTGTTGAGTGGGGCCCAGTACAATGACAGGGAGGGGTTGATGTTGGGCTAGGATGGAGCTCTCTGCTTTGAAGCAGACACTCGCTGAATGATCCAAGAGCCAGCTGTGCACACGACTGGACGTGTGTCCCCTGTGTCAGTCACAGCTGAATGCATGAAGGGGTTTGGGAGTCACAACAGCACAGTCCAGGTTCCTGCTGCTGGTTGAATCTTCAGCCCTGCATTAGGTACATGGATCCCTCTAGAAGGCTCAGGGACAATTTTAGGTTCCTCCTTCCCCCCAAAAAAGGGATTCACAGAGCAGCATGTTGAGTAGGGAGCGGCCAAAAATAGCCGGTGGCAGATGCTGAGAAGACGGGTTGGGCCTCAGCCCTGCCTCTCACACGAGGTCAGGCCCCTCGCTCTGGGGTGGGAGAAGGTGCCTGTCTGCTTGGAATTCATGGCTGTCAACTTGATCTGGGCAGGTCAGCCAGGTCTGCCCTTTCTCCTGAAGGGCTAGAATCCGACTGATGGCTCCCTCTTTTACATGAGTGGCAATAGCGCTGTGGAGAGGACACTGACCTGTGCACAGCTGTTTGAAATCCCATTTCTGTCTGATTTACAGCAGGGATTTGAGCTGTGGGAAGCCAGATTTCAGGTGAGTTCCCTGATGGCTGTGCTGTGGGCCAGGTGTCTCTAAATCTGTCTTGGTGGAGCTGTTCCACTTGGAGTAACTAATTAAATAGATATTGGACCAGGGCTTGTACGTGGGTCTCCCATATTCCAGACTGTCTGTCTCTCTGGGCCAATGGATACTGAATTATGTACAGAAATGGAAAAGCATCATCGGTCTCTTCTAAATAACCTTTTCACTCCTAGCTCTAGGAGCTAGTATGGGTGTGACAGGTGGCTCTGGGGACACAACTGTAAATTACAGCAGACGCAGGGGCTTCTCTAACGTACCAGGATGGTGAAGCGATCCAGGCCTGGGCAGAATCTAAACTTTGTCCCCTCCCTGAGGGCTGCATCTCTACCCTCTGGGATTTAAAGACTGAAAGGGAGAGTGAAGGAAATGACAGGAAACCACCCGGATGTGCTGGGATTGATATGCCATTGATGTGGAGTGTGTAAGTCTGCTGCTCTGCCCTTGGGGATAGGAGTGGAATTTAAAGCTGCCCTTTCCTCTTCCTTTCCTCTTCTTTCTCTCTTTCCTAGAGCCCCTCCACCCACCTTGCTTTCCCTAGGATGCTAGTTCCCTGGGGTCTAGCAAGGTGATCAGTGTCTGTGGACTCTGTTCTGGAATCTAGTGTTGTTTCTAGTCATTAGCAAAGAATCCCCGTCTTCTCTTCCGAAACCAATTTCTTCTTTCCCATCAGTTGTGTGAAATGTGCTGCATTGTCACTGAACTGAAAAAAGGAACCACAGATAAGCTCTGTGCTCTCAATTGTTAGACCCTCCTCCCCCTAGTGGTACTCAGAGTAGTAGGCAAAAGCCCTTAGTTATCTCTTTAAGGCAGGGGTGTCCAAACTTTTTTCAAAGAGGGCCAGATTTGATGAAGTGAACATGCGTGAGGGCCGACCATTTTGCCTGACATTCTTTGAACCATTAAAATTAAATGCAAATTAACTATTTTATGCAAAGTTTATTGCAAACGGCATACTTTTCATTTCGTCACATGGATGACAAATCTAAACAGGTGTTAAATCACTCTGCCTTTCATATCTGAAGGCCAGATGAAAAAAAAATCCAGGAAGCTGAAATATATGTCAGGAACATTGTAAAGTACATTACATATTATTGGTAATAAAGGTTGTCTGTCAACTTTTAAGTTCAAAAAATATGAACAGGAACATAACACCAAGTATACATGTTGTGTCCAAATATATTTATAACTGATTTAGACCAACTGACATTAACTGAGATTTTACAATGTGTTCATCTCAATACATATGGATTCGTTGGGGGCCATAAAAGATAGATATTGCCAAATTACCTGTGGGGCCGTATTAAACCAGAACACGGGCCGCAATTGGCCCGCGGGCCGGACTTTGGACATGCCTGCTTTAAGGACTGACATGTTCCTGGAGTAGCAGCTGTTGAGAAGATTCTGTGTCTGGGAAGGTGTTTGAATGAGCAAAGTGACACAGCAGACTAGTGAAGGTTTGTGGTGAGAAGTGTCACAGTGAGAGGGAGGTGCTAGCCTGGCTGATAACAGGATCTTCATCTTCAACACTGTTGATCGGGAGGGTGCATTGAAATTAGATCTCTTCCCACTCCCATGCAATAGATTTGTGTCCTGCACCCCAGAGTCTGAATGTATTAAATCAATTTCTACAGATTAGCAATGGAGTGACTGGAAATATTTCGGTTTGCAACTTTGGCTGCAGGGCTAGCCCACAACATTTTGGCACTTGAGGCAGGGAACTCAAATGACCCCCCCCTGCCACCTTTTCTCCTGCCTACCTGTTACGTCTCTTGTGCACCTCCTTCCTCTAGCAAAGCACTCCACCATCTCTTTGCATCTTCTGCCCCAGTCTGGCACCTGAGGCGGCCGCCTCAGTTCGCCTCATGGTAAGCCCAGACCTGTTTGCATGACTGATTTTGAATATAAATTACAGCCTGATAATCCACAAAGTGGTGGGGAAAGGAGGGTATGTCTACACTACCCTCCTAGTTCGAACTAGGAGGGTAATGTATGCATACCGCACTTGCTAATGAAGCCCGGGATTTGAATTTCGGCACCTGAGGCGGCCGCCTCAGTTCGCCTCATGGTAAGCCCAGACCTGTTTGCATGACTGATTTTGAATATAAATTACAGCCTGATAATCCACAAAGTGGTGGGGAAAGGAGGGTATGTCTACACTACCCTCCTAGTTCGAACTAGGAGGGTAATGTATGCATACCGCACTTGCTAATGAAGCCCGGGATTTGAATTTC